ATGGATGGATGAGTGGGTGTATGGATGGATGGATGGATGGTTAGGTGGATAGTTGGATGGACGGATGTGATTCTGGCCAGAGGGTACTAAACAGAGGTAAATGGGAAAGAAAAGACTCTGCAAGCATATGAAAAAGCACATGTTTTCTTCTTCTCTCATCCCTTCTTCTTGTTTCGTTTAATGTCAACCAAAAAGTCCCATGCTGCCCTTGTAGCCTCACACCTCCATAATGCTGCCTACCTGCTGTGAGGAAGGCATTTATCAGCGTGTCCCTGAGTATTCTTCTGACACGTCTGTTCTGGATGGAAGACTCACGTCCCCAGTCTTCCATGCGCCCACATTTCTGGGACCCCTGCCCCCCCCCCCCTCCCTCTGGCAAAGCGCCTCAATTTCCCAGACTACATCGCTTCATGAACATTCCGCCATATTGCCATCGCCTAAACGCGCTGGCTGGGTCGGTTCCTATCCACAACTGAAAATGTAAGTACTCAAACACTAATATCTGAAAACATTGGGGGGTATTCGGCCGCTGCGTGTGTGTCTGTGTTCCACTGCCAGTGTCTGGACTGCTCGTGTGTCGGTAACGATGTGGTACGAGCCCTCAGCTCACCTCAGGAGACTGGTCCGACGGCTCTTTTCTCTGTTGTTGTTTTTCCCTCTGTCACAGCGACAAATTACATTCACGACCCCCTCGCAATATTTGTGCTGTTAGCCTTTTGTACCGTTATTGTACATTTTCAATAGACACAATGGTTCTGTTTCACATTTCTACACATTATCTGCCGTCTGTGTTTTTCCATGCAGGTCATATTCTACTCGTATGTCGCCTCTATGTTAGCGTTACGAAGAATAGCTACCCTGTGTTGTAGCTAGCTAGCACTAGCCGAGCCCCATAGTTTGTACATGAAATCTGTGCGTGGGGTCTGACTATTATCTGCAGTAGCTAGTTACGGTACGTTGGAGTGAATCAAGCATCGGTGTCTCCTCCTGTCCTGTGGCGAAGAGCAAAGATTCAGAGAACACCGACAGATAGCGTATCTAATCCCAGTCAGTGGTTTAAGACATGGAGGGTTTTCTTCAAGTGAAAACATCTTGTGGTTTAAATGACGATTGTTATCATTGGTTTTTCTTTACATGTAAAGCTTATGTGAACATTTGAACGGTTTGCATTGAGCCACCCAGTGTGTTTCATCTGGACCACCCCCACTGTCCCCCCTGGTCTGTCACGTGTATGTCAATATGGAAACGCAGCAATCGAGAGTAGACATGAACCAGTGTCACTCAGTTTCCTTCTGCTCACATTAATCTCATTAGGAAGCTTTGTAGACCCATTCAGGCCCAGTGTGTGGCTAACTTCTGGTTGACTGGAAGATATCTGGGTCATGAATCAAAGCTGAGCTCAGGTGTATTGAAGAGCTCTGAATTTGTCTGTTAAAATTAACTGAATTATCTTTGCATAATGGCAAACAATGTTATTCCTTGTGCCCTCGTCTATCTCTTTTATTTTGATAAATCTCTTCAGAGGTGACAGGGACCTGCTTAAACCCAGACTTAATCCTGGGGAATATCAGAGATCTGATATATTAGTTTCTAATTTGAGATTTACATGAACCATGATGTCACGAATAAAGGATTCTGATAGGAATTTCTTCTTTTTAATGCATATTAAATGTAGTAATTCCTTAAGATTTCATTACTTTTGGAACAGCTAAATTGCTCCAGGGGTACACCAAAGGGGATAGATAAATGCATACTACAATATTCCAAATATGTTGAAGGACAAAAATTGTGGCATTGGCTAAATACACTGACATACAGAAATGAAGCCCCAAATTATTTTATGAGTAAATCAATCTGTTTTTCCCTCCATCACAAGCTGCTGAAATGGACTAAATGGTTCATTGTGTTTTTCATTGAAGATAGGTTTGGTGCATTGTTATGCAAGTTGCTGTATTTTTCAAATTTAATTTCCTAAGCTTCTTGGTTTATGGAATGTACAAGACAAAGCAAATGAGATAAATCATGAAAACAGGACAACAATTCACATGGGCGTTTGCAAGGGATAGGCAAACATCCGTGTTTCATACTGTATAGTTTTGTACAAAGCATTTTATTTAAAGTCAGTTCTGCTAAGCTAGAAAACTATTTATCATTTCTCTGCAACCAAAAGTTCACTCTGGTAATTTTATCCAGAAAACTTTAAAAGAAAAGAAATGTGTTTTTGTATGTTTCAGTTCTGCAGTGATGACTCAGACGGTTCAGACCAACGGGGTCCAACCCCTCAGTAAGACCTGGGAGCTGAGTCTGTATGAGCTACAGAGAACTCCACAGGTAAACTGTTCATATCCTTTAAATCTATACACATTGTTCATGTGTTTGTCTGTTTCTTAACAGATTTAATCAGCCACACATGTTTGTGTTTCTGTTGTAAGGCTTTTAAATAATTTTTAAACCTGTATTGAGATCAAGTTTTTATGCCATCATCAAGTTTGGCAGACATGTAAAAATGTGTTTAATGTGTAGCCAAATGTGTAGAACTGTATTACAAACACCCACTATATATGGTACATTATCAGCAACACTTAATCAGTTCATAGGAGTTGATGGTATAATTGTCCCTGTAACACAGTTACAGTGATATGTGAATTATTTAAAATGATGACTCTTCAAGCTGCTGCGGTTCTTCAGGTCACAAAATCATCAATCAGACCTGTGACCTGCGTCAGTGTGTGTAACATTTCACAAATTATGTATCTGAGTGTACTAATCTTACTAAGATCTACTAATCATGACGATCTGTTTTTCACTGACACAGGAAGCTATAACAGATGGACTGGAGATAGCCGTGTCGCCCAGGTCCTTGCACAGTGAACTTATGTGTCCTATCTGTCTGGACATGCTGAAGAACACAATGACAACTAAAGAATGTCTGCACCGCTTCTGCGCTGATTGTATCATCACAGCTTTGAGATCTGGGTGAGTTTGTACCTTGCAGTAGAAACCAATAGAGCCTCCTCCTCTCCTTGTTCAATCACTCAATCATCATCAATCTTATTACCATCTCATCACGTGTGGGGGTTGATAGTGAATGTCACTCATTGATAATAAGATGCTGATGGTGATACATCGTGTTTAAATACATCCTTTACTAAAGGTAGATTTACATTTCTCCCTGTATATCATAAAAAGCACTGACAAGCACACACACGTCCCCTAAAAAGGTCCCTTCATAAATAAGTGGTTGTGGTCAGTGACTATTGGCTCTTAGTGTACCTATGTAAGACTATGACACATACGCGCACGAAACAAGTTGTCATGGAGATATTATATTACTCATATTAGTAGAAGTCAGTTTTTCCCTGTTTCTAATTCTTACAGTATTTTTTTAATAACTGTTTCATCTGCTCCCCTATTTTTTTTATTTAGGGGCACTAAATGTCAACATTGAACACCAACCAAGATATTTGCGTATGAATATTGCTTTAAGACAAAATTGTGAGATTGTCGTTTGAATTCTGTATGAAGTGCTACACACTGTAGCGGTTTAAATCTGATATTGAGGTCAATGTCATCAATCATTACCCAATGAGAAATGATTATCACAGTAAGCTCTTAAGTCTGCAGCTCTTTTATTCCTAGCAGCAGTGACATTTGTTCTAATGTGAGTTTTATCATAAAATACAGGGTGCAGAGTAAATGTCAAAGAAAAGCTTTGTGATCAGTTATGCATTATGCCGCAAAGTGGGCTTTTAAGTGCCCACATGTGTCCTGATGCACCTTCACATGTTTATGTTGGACTTAATAGTTTTTCACACGTTCATTTTAAGTGTGTTAATTTGTATTCAGAACATGTCATATTAAAGCTACAAAGTGCAATTTCTGGAAATCAAGGAAGTGCTAGCCGGAGACTAAAGCAAACCACTCCAAACCAAAGCACTGCTTCCAGGAGCTTGTTTATCTGTGAGCTAGCCATAGCAATGCCCTGGCCTTCTTTGATTGGTTAGAAGGATGAGACTCACTCTCTGCAACATTGTCAGGCTGTTGACTGAGTCTGGTTCTCACAAGCCTCTAATAGCACCTCCTTTCCTCCTTATCTTTGCAGTAATAAAGAGTGTCCTACCTGTCGTAAGAAGCTGGTGTCAAAGAGGTCGCTGCGTCCAGACCCTAATTTTGATGCTCTGATTAGTAAGTAACTACAAAGAAGAGGTTTAACCACTACTAATACAATCTACACAACCTCACACAGTTCAGTAAGCCAAAATACAGTGTAAAAAATATGGTAGACTTATGTTTTACACTCATTCATCCCATTTTAGGTAAGATTTATCCCAGCCGTGACGAGTATGAGGCCCACCAGGAGAGAGTATTGGCCCGCATTAGCAAACACAACAACCAGCAAGCCTTGTCCCACAGCATAGAGGAGGGGCTGAAGATACAGGCTATGACCAGGTAAACAAACTGAAGTCAACACAACACACACATAGTAATGAAGACTCATACACAATTAGTCTAAAAAGTATATTTTTTTAAACATTTTTTCAGACTGCAGCGCGGTAAGAGACACACAGTGGAGAACGGAAGCGGAGCTGAAGACAATGGAGACTCCTCCCACTGTAGCAACGCCTCTGTCCACAGCAACCAGGTATGTTCCTATATACAAAATATTATCACACTTGAAAACATGTACATTTGATGTAGCAGTAACTACCAATGATGTTAAACAACACTACTGTTCAATTTAATTCTAAATAACATATATCCAGCAAAGAAAGTGCCAGACCTCGGAAAGCAGTTGGGAATCAACAGTAATGATGTGACCATTTGAAAGAATAGTCGTTATTGCTTGGGTTGCAGATACTCAGGGATCACTTTGCCTTCAAACACAACACATGTCTTCCTGGTGTGTGTGGTCTTCATACAAACAGTGACATTACTATCTGTTTTCCCAGGAGGCAGGTCCGAGCATCAAACGCACCAAGACGAGCGATGACAGCGGATTGGACATGGACAATGCTGCTGAGAATGGGGGTGGGGACTCTGTGATCGATGGTGGTGCAAGTGAAATTGAACTGGTGTTTAGGCCACATCCCACCCTGATGGAGAAGGATGACAGTCACAACAGGTAGTCATAGCGTCACACACAATGCCTTTTCCAATGCTGATGCAAAATGGATACTTTTAAACTGTACAAGTGCCTGAATATAATATAATATTATCAGCAAACCTAAAGCCGAGCTCAGCTCATACATAGATTTGATAGTAAATAATTGTTCATTTCTATTATTTCATATTTCTGTAATTTTCCCCTGCACATGCGCTTTACCTCTGCTGCTACAACTCCATCCTAGGGGAAACACTGACCATACACCCACCTGTTCATAATGGTTTTACAGTTTAATAATAGTGAAATACAGCCAAACCTTACAGTGTTACTTAAATAATGCTTAATGTTACCTGAAGCTGTAAACAACATTCATTCTTGTTGTTTTGGAGCAGTGTCCATATAAGAAAAATGAAATCAGTCTCGTAAACACATCCATGTCTGTTGTGTTCCTGGTTGTACCTGTTTGTTTACCAACACATATTTGAACATGTGTGTGTCTGCAGTGTGGAGTTTGTCCCTCGCTATATTAAGACGTCCGGTAATGCAACAGTGGACCACCTGTCTAAATACCTGGCTGTCCGATTGGCTCTGGAGGAACTGAGAAGAAACGCTGAGGCCAGTCCTGTTAACGTGGAGGCGGCTTCAGAGAAACAGTACACTATCTACATCCCCACTGCTGGAAACCAGTTCACTGTGAGTACACACACGCACTCACAATCTAACAATTGAACAATATTTTCAGTTTGTTCGACTGTACGTGAATGCCCTATTCCTACATATCCTCAAATAAGAATTCTTCACAGAAGATATTTTGACATGTATAAATGTTGAAATTTATATATAGAACAAGACAAGACTGATTTAGCTGCAGGGTCTTGGTGGTGTTCATGGTGAATTACTGTCACACTTACTTGGTTGAATGCGGAGACAAATGGTTTTCATAATAGCTACAATTTTGTAAAAATATGTTCCTGCATTAGAATATCTTAGTACTTAATACATTTTTTCATTTAAAAAGTACAGAGACTGTATCATACAGAGAACACCCTTATGGTGCAAATATTTCACCGCTCTACACGAGTGAAAATATGAACGTGCAAATGTGAAAAATAGTTTGCACCATTGCGAGTCGGCTCTAAACTGGTTTTTAATTTGAAAGCACCTAGGGCATTTAATGGCTACCTGAAGATACCAGTAAGAGAGCGGCCTATCCGCTGTGTGTGTCACAGTGTGACTGCGGGTGGAGCAGCAGGGCTGCAGGGTAGAGATAGAAACTGGCAGACCTCTTATATAAGCTGGCCCAAATTCAAATTTTAGCAAAGGTCAGTTAACATTACATATAAGTGGCAACTTTTTATTTTAAGCTTTGACTGATTGTCACTTTTATTGTAAGTAAGTAAAAGTGACACCAGCCAGGGAAAAGCATTATTTTTAACTGCTCTGCCTACACTCTGTCTTATGCTAATAGCAAACGTTTGAGTGTGTTTCTTAAATATGTTCAAGTTCTTGTGGAATTAATGTTTGAGAAAATTGTGTCCTCCAAAATTATCTAAATACAATCAGTGACTATAACCATATTGCATTACCTCCGTTACTGTGGTACATAATAATAGAAATGAATGCTGTGATGTAGAGACTCTTCCTGATCACCACAGTTGGTGGAAGTCCAGGTATTACACACTGTCTCTCCTGCTCATCCACAGTTCACAGAGCTGTAGTTCACCTGCATCCCCTCTACCACCCCTGCAGACATTCCAGGTTTTAAACCATTATTGAACATGTAGAGGAGACATGTTCAAACTAAGGACACTTTCAGGTCTACCTTGTTTAATTGGATCTTCAAGCTTTTCAGTGTAGCTCAAACCAACCAACAGATAACCTGATAATTTAGTCTGACTAAAACCGCTGGCCTCTGTTCAGATCAAATGAACCATGGATCGGATTGTTTGTATTGTAAAAACAGTCCGAGTCCACAAAACTCTCAGGGGTAAACAGTGTTGTAGCCAAAGTGACCCCTTTTTCAGACCTAATAAAACAAAAGAAAAAAAAACACAACATGCCTCCATACTAGTGTCATCCAAGTGTCCACAAGTCCCAACATTCATATTCTACTTGAAACAGCATCATTTACACCATGTTTTAAGCCTAAGAGTCCACTACCGGAAGTAGCAATGCTAATGTGCACCCCGTGCATGCCCGTGGGCGACAGCTTGTGTGCATTGTGTGCGTGATGCGGCTCCAAGGAGGATATCAGAAGACTTTTAGTCTTAAAACATGGTGTAAATGTTTGAATATTAAATTCAAATATCAAATATTTGAATGTCGGGCCTTACGGACACTTGGGTGGCACCACTAGAGCAGTATGGAGGCTTTTTATATTTTTCTTTTGTTTTATTACGTCTGAAGAAAGAGTCACAAGTAACTTCAATTGTGTTGGATTTGGCTGCAACACTGTTTACCCCTGAGACTCCTGAAGTGTCTTGTGGACTCAAACACCTCACCCACTCCTCCATCGGCATAGTGGGGAATAGATAATGAGTGAATTTTCATTTTTCTGTGAACGTTCCCTTTAGGACAGCATAAACTAAGAAGCAGAAGCAGCTCACAGTATTGCTTGTAGTCTTTGCCTCCAACTATATAATGTTTGAACAACAAGAACTTCTATTTCTAATAGTAATGCCATATTGATATTACAGAGGCAAGAAAATCAACAATCTTTCATTCATTTATTTTCTCCAACAGACTACTCTTTTTTTTCTATGCACTTTACTCCAAAAAGTTATCAGATACAGTCGCCGAATTGACAACATAACGCCGTTTGACGCATGCCTGTCTATAAACCAGTCAATGTCATATAATTCTCTTTAGTCTGCTCCTTAAATTGCAATGTGAAACAAAACTATCAGAATCAAATGTTGACTGTGTAACAAAGACAAGAACCTGGACTCAGACCACAGACTGGGTGTTCTGTTTGGAAAATCTTGAAAAGCAGATATAGTAATTCATTTCAAGCAACTAGTTCAGCAGAGAAATGTTAGTGGCAGTCAGTCTTTGCAAACTAATTGCATTACATGAATTTGTAATGTAGTGGCGAGCAGCCTGCTTATTTCTGCAGGAAGAACAGCTGTGTTAATAAAGACGAAGTGACGGGCCCAGACTGGAGCTGAAGCGAGACATGAGGCTCAGAGCGGGAAACCTGCCAGATGTTTGAACTCTTTCACTCTGTTCACAGGTCCTGAATGGTTCCTTCTCTCTGGAGCTGGTCAGCGAAAAGTACTGGAAGGTGAACAAACCCATGGAGCTCTACTTTGCCCCTACTAAAGAACACAAGTAGACACATAACAACACACACATGCATACACACATAACCACATACACACTCACCAGTTGGAAGTAAACAGACGGACTTGGCTACATGTGTGCACACAGAAACAAGAAGTGGGTGTGTCTGAAGGAGATTAGGGGGGTTGGTGAAACCCCTGAACGGACTCTTGTAAAAAGAAAAAACCCTCGTTTTATATTCTCTGTATCTTTGTGTGTCTCTTTCTATCTTTCTCAGTAGAAGGTAGCAGATCAGTGCAGCAGCTTGCAGATAAATCACAGATAAAGGTCTGCTGCTAACAGTGACTATAGATTCTCTCCAACTCAGTAAACCAGGCTCCATTCACAGTCTCAGTTAGCAATGTGCTGTTTTCCCAGAAAAAAAAATGTAATATTCGATATTTGTCTTCAGCAGGGCCCCCCTTTATACTGTATGATGTTGGTTTGTCCCTAACAGACGTCAACCAGATGGTAGAAAAATGTGATGAAATGGTGGTCTTACATCTCATTGTGAACTACAGCCACCATCAGGTCAGTTAGAGCTTTAGAGGCTGCACAAATTCTAAAAATGCTGCTCTTGGTTTAAGATCACTCTGTGCTACAACTGACATCAGAAGATGAAGTTGTACGACACACACAGGATGAAACAAACATTGTAAATCCCCATACATATGTACACGTTTTTCAACTGTACCTGTCCACGAAAGAAGAATCTGACATGTACGGAAGCAAATCTGGGATCAGAATTTCATATTGAATTGAACCTACTGAATACTTAATGTTGAAAGTTAAAAACCACTGGATTTTTCAGATGGAATTTATTGATTTAAAAAGACAAATAGTTTTGTTTCTGAACAGTAGATCCAGAAAACCTCTGAAAACATATTTCAGTGTTCAACATTAAGTAATCAGTGGTGGTTATAAGGTGCCTGTGGGTGTTTTGACCTCTACCAGCACTGTGGAGCTGCATTTCTATAACTGGTTTCCTGTTTTGTTTATCTTGAGCACACACTCGCACACAGGTGGTGCAATACACAATCCTGCCTCTCTATCGGGTGGTGGTAATGTGCCAGTGACCGCAGCAAACAGACCATTTGTACAGTTAAGTGTTAATGACAGGCTGTCTCGAAATCTTACTTTCCATATGTAAACTACATTGCTTCTCCCTGTTCTATTGTCTTCTTCCAGAGTGAGGATTTCGATTATTTGATTTGTGACGTGTATAAGTTTTCAAGTTTTTCAAGTTTTCAGTTGCTCATAAAATTCAAATAATTATTTTGACATTTCCTAGTTTGCATAAATATGCCTCTGAATAAAAGCCTGATTTTGTCAGACCCATGTGGCACAGTGACGTACTGTTATCACACAGTGTACAGGGGCGAGAAGGCACCTGTTGATCTGTATTTTTGAATGCTACATGGTAAAATGTGCGTTTACACTGAGGAATCCAGGTGAATCTACAGTATTCAATGATGTGAAGCTACAAAGATTGAAGCAGGCAAATAGGGGTTTTTGTTTCTGATACTGTTGCAGGTGTTCTCTGGAGAGCTTTTTTTGGACACGTCTGTCGTCTTTCAAATAAAACCAGAGAATGGTGAAGGGTTTAATGGCTGCAGTCTGTTTTCCTGCTGTCTGGAAACTGAATCACTAAGCAGGACACGGGACATGTAGGGTATCAAATGGATGCAGCTACCAGTGTTAACGCATGATAACAAACCAGGTGCACCACTCGCATGGTGCGTGAAGACTGGTTGGGGAGTGAAGTGAAACTCTGAACTGTGACTGTGAGGTACTATCTGGCAGCTGTTGTCTTGATCTGTTGCCTGTAGGAAAAAAACTGTCTTCTAATATCTGTGGCTGCTCTCTATGGCTCGTCCTTTTTATAAATGTCTTTTGTAACATGGAAAGAATGGTGTTTTTGTGTGTTTTGTGTGTGTCTGTGTGTTTGGAGCAGAGTGGGGTGGGAGGGTATTTTTTTTGCAGCACAATGGACAGACAGACAATTACAATATTCACTATCCCACCTACCGTTCGAACGATCCCACTCCCTTTGCTGTTGTATCACCGCTGACTCAGCAGTGTAACGTGACTGCCAGCGTTAGGAGGGTTATTTTCTCATCATCACTCCTTCGAAGTTAAAACATGACATCACAGAAGAAGGAAGAGTACAGTTTCTTATTGTTTCACACACATGGTGATGGGTCGGTGACATGTTTTGATAGAAGTTGTTTTTGGTCTCTGTTGCTAAGGAAGGGGTCTGAAGGTCCCACAAGGAGGAGAGGCCCGGTTATTTTGCAACTGATGTGGTACATTGCTGGTCACATGACCTGATTGGACAAACCACAACCATCACACTAAACCTTTTACAGGTGTATCAGTGCATCACCATGTAGAAATCAGCTTTTTGTCAATATTATTTACTGTTTGTGGAGAGCCGGAAACCTTTTCCTTTGCTGAATGAGACACTTTCATATTTGCTATTTTGTAGGTGACATGAGGAGCAGCTGATGGGTTATGAGGGGTTATGATGAGTGATGATGAAGAGAATCAATGTGTGGTCTAATAATCTGAGCTGAGTTATAAATATGTCTCTGCAGCTTCACTTTAATTCAGGACAGTTCAGTCAGTTTTGGAGGGAATATACTAAATGACCACCACACTCTCCCTGTGACCTAAACTACTTCTGTTTATTTGACCAGCCAAACATCACCTTAAGACTAGGTCCAGAGCTCTCCACCACATCTTATGGTCTCGGTCAGCAAGTTCATTTACCTCAGTTGTTCCCTTTGACAAAAATAATCTCATTTTGAATGAACACTGACATTTGATTTCTGTTCGGTTTATCCAGTTCAGTTACTGTCTGTGTAAATGGCTCATTTAACCCCAAGGATTTCCCCAGATTCTGGATTCAGGGAGGAGAAGAGGTGTGTGGGAAGCACCTTCACTCTCTTCTTATTTGGTACCTGTGAGTGTGTGAGTGTGTGATTGTATGTGTGGAACCTGTATACTGCATCTTTCTGTTTGGACATTAAACCTGAAGTTGTGTGTTCATCATTGAACACTGCTGTTGCTTGTGTTTTCACTGATTAAAAACTGTTGCGTTACTGTGTCTTGTGTTGGGTTGTGTATTCTTGTCACCATATATAAGTGAAATGTCTGATAGCCACTGTATATTTCTTGTTTTTCTATGTTGACCTTAGTTTGTAATATGATATGAATAAATATAAAAAGGAGCAGCTGTTAGCAGGAGTGTAAAGTGTGTTCAATGAAGAACATATATAATATATTTATGAAATAGTACATTTAGAGGCTTTAAGTTCTATACAGGAACTTTAGATCAATGCTATGAGTGTTTATGGGCGTGGTGATGAAATGAATATGAAGTTTAAATTATTATAGATATCGCTTTTCGATATCAGCGCTACTTTGTGTATTTACAAAACATCCAATGAGAATTCAGATGACCAGTGTGGGTCACTGCTGACAGAAGAGCAACTGTAACAGCTCTGACCTAATCTGTGCACATACATTCAACCGTGCTGGGACTTCTGTGCTACACTGGATGAATGTGTAGTGTACCGTAAAGCAAGTCTGAGCGGTCGTTCACCATCTTTAATATATTAAAGATATTTGCTTATGCAGGATCATTTTTCAAAAAACTTGGACGTAAAATCAGATTTACTCAGGTTGTGATGAGTGAGTTTGTAGACACTTGGTGGAAGCATTTTCTTTTTGTTTAACAGTGTAAATGTCACCATTTTCCCCATGGACCATGATGAAAAAACTCAGGTACAGTAAGGGGACTAATATCTATGACTATGGTCTCCTTGGTATGCTCTCCACTGAGTGTCATTCTAGTTTTATGTGTTTATTGCTTGGTATTTGAGGCTTAGACGAACACATAAATCCCCCAAACAATACATAAATCGTTGTGCGCACTTGAAAACCTTATTTTGAATTTGTAGATTATGTGTAACACACTTTCAGTCAGCCCAAAGGCCTCCAGTAGAGATCTGTTTCATATTCATCATTCCCTGATTGTTGCTACAACACTGTATTGTACAGTTATGTCTTTTAGAACTGCTTTTAGCTGTCCCCTGCTAATATCATGTTCACTTCTCTAGAATTCTTTTCATAATCACAGCGAGGTTTAAAAGAACCTGACTGATTCAACAGGACCTGATGTGAAATTTACAAGCAGCTGAAGCCACACAGCTACTGTATTTGATCTAACGCACCTCGTCTCCTGCCAGCATCAAAACTGACTCTACAGAGACTTCAGCTACAGTCTCACTGAATTTATTTCATGCTGGCAACCCGGTCTGTTCTCTGTCAGCAGCAAATGATGAGACAAAGTGAGGAAGCGAGCAAAAGAGTGTTTTCTTATTATAAGACAGGAATAGAATCAGCCAATATTCAGTTGTAGTACATTATTTTGTCTTTTATTTCAGGTATAAAAAGAAACAATATAAGCAGTGTGGAGTTGGTCTTAGTAGAAAAAAAAAGTCAATGAACAAAGATGTTCAGAAGTTAGAATGTTAGGGGGAAAACAACCCAGCATGCACTGGGCAAAAAAGGCAGGGAAACGCCCTGGACAGGTCACCAGTCCACCATAGTCCAGCCAAGAAGAGTCTTTTCCATTTCCTCAACCTGGATGAGTCAGAGGCCTGAGGGGGAGGAAGGGAGGAGAGAAGAGGAGGAGATGTTGCAGTGAGCAGCCAGCGGAGGCAGCAGAGCAGCTGAGAAGATTTTGAAAGGAGCGAGGAGCCGCTTTGGGCAGACTGTGTCTTCTCTCTGCACGGCTGGCAGACACAGACAGTGTGAGGTGCCAGCACCTCCCTGTCTGACTGCCAGCACATCCAAACCCCAGAGGTGTGACTGAAAATAGTGAGTGCAGAAAAAAAGAGGAGCGAACTGGATCAAGAAGACACTCCGTTCCAGTCTGAAAACAAAAGGCTAATCATGTCCCAAAGCAGAGAAAGAGGAGACGTGTCTCAGTCAACAGTTGTGGCGACTGTGTTTGGCGTCCGTTTACACGTGGACCATGTTGGGTGTTGGACGATCAGACAGTCTTCCTGGCAGTCAGCACTCTGACTATGGAGCCCACTCCTCCCACTGCCAGAGCCTGAGGACACACACACACACACACAGACACACACACACACACAGACACACACACACACACACACACACACACACACACACACACTTTAGAGGCAGGGTAACAAAAACAATGGGAAAATGTATTTTTGTATACAGATGAAGAACAGAGATAACCACGGTTCATCTTCTCTCTCAGAGAGAGTGCATGTTTACCTTTTCTATGTGGATTTACATTTAATCAATCTTGTATATGGTCTGTATTGTATTTCTACACTGCTCAAAAAAATGAAAGGAACACTTTGAAAACACATCAGATCTCATTGTGAAAACAAATTATGTTGGATGTTTATACTGATATGGACAGTTTAATGTCTTAGGAACAAAAGGATGCCACGTCTTTGATGGAAATAAAAGTTTTCAGCCTGCAGAGGGCTCAATTTTATAGACACCCCGAAAATCATAGTGAAAAAGTGATGTGGCAGGCTTGTCCATTTTGCCAAAATTCAATTTCTGCAACTCAAAATGCTTCTCAATATCTTGTGTGGCCCCCACGTGCTTGTATGCATGCTTGACAACGTCGCGGCATGCTCCTAATGAGACAACGGATGGTGTCTTGTGGGATGTCCTCCCAGATCTGTCTAAGGGCATCAGTGAGCTCCTGTAAAGTCTGAGGAGCAACCTGGCGGCGTCTGATGGACCAAAACATAATGTCCCAGAGGTGTTCTATCGGGTTTAGGTCAGGTGATCGTGAGGGCCATTCAATTGCATCAAATTCTTCATCCTCCAGGTACTGCCTGCATACCCCTTGCCACATGAGTCTGGGCATTATTGTGCATCAGGAGGAACCCAGGACCTACTGCACCAGCGTAGGGTCTGACCATGGGTTCAACGATTTCATCCCGATACCTAATGGCAGTAAGACTGCCGTTCTCTAGCCTGTAGAGGTCTGTGCATCCCTCCATGGATATGCCTCCCCAGACCATCACTGACCCACCACCAAACCGGGTCATGCTGAACGATGTTGCAGGCAGCATAGCATTCTCCTTGGCTTCTCCAGACCCTTTCACGTCTATCACAGGTGCTCAGGGTGAACCTGCTCTCATCTGTGAAAGCACAGGGCYCCAGTGGCGGACATGCCAATTCTGGTGTTCTATASCAAATGCCAATCGAGCTCCACGGTGCTGGGCAGTGAGCACAGGGCTCACTACAGGACGTCGCGCCCTGAGGCCACCCTCATGAAGTCTGTTTCTGACTGTTTGGGCAGAGACATTCACACCAGTGGCCTGCTGGAGGTCATTCTGTAGCGCTCGGGCAGTGCTCAACCTGTTCCTCCTTGCACAAAGCAGCAGATATCAGTCCTGCAATCTCCCTGCAACGGCACGCATGGATGTGCCATCCTGGAGGAGTTGGACAATCTGTGCAACTTCTGTAGGGTTAAGAAATCGCCTCATGCTCCCAGTAGAGATAATGACTCTAGCTAAAGCCAACACTAATGGAAAACCAGTCGAAGTGATCAAGAGGGAGAAACTTGAAATGGCCTCCACATGCAAAACCACTCCTATTTTGGGGGTCGTCTCATTGTTGCCCCTCTAGTGCACCTGTTGTTAATTCCATCAACACCAATGCAGTTGAAACTGAATTCATGCTATACCCTGATAAAAAAGTGTTCCTTTAATTTTTTTGAGCAGTGTTTATTATTATTTGTACATCAGATCATTCTGAAGGAATCCTCTATAATATTGGAAGGTCTTAGCCTTATCGTGTGAAGTGCCTTGAGATAATGTATGTTATATTTTGTGCTAAACAAACAAAACTGAATTTGATTGTTGTACTGAGTATTTTGTTAAGTGTGGGGTGGCACCGGTGTGGAGGGCACATGAAGTAAAACATATCTTTCTTAGTTTCACCTCGTCTCCCCTGAACTCTGCACATCATTTTCTAGATTATATCTCTACTCTTATTGGTTAAAAAACGAAACAAATGCATTTTCTCTGCTTCCAGAGGAGAGCGTGACAGAGAGTTTGAGAACTACTAGTTTTTCTAGTTTGAATTCCATATTTTGTTGATTTTCAAAGTGTAGAGAAGCAAACAGACGCTAACCTGAGCCCTACTTCAAAGGTCCATGTAGCATTACTTTTTATGTCTCTGCAGGTGAAAACTGTGGCCACAGGTTGTCCATACAAACACACTTATGTCCATCCGTCCCATTTCCGTCCAGTTGGAGGATGAACAAATTCGATTTTGGTCTCAAAGGTCACTCTGACCTCACAAAATCAGTTTTTGGCCATAACTCAAAGTCAATGTGTTGATCATACAGAGTTTTAGACAAATGTCTTACGGGATTTTAGTTAATTTATTACTCAGTAGAATTTTGAAATGTGTTTTCTGCAGGGGTTAAATTTACTATATTTCACTTAAAAACAATTCAACAAAATATGAAATTCTGTTTTTTACTGTATATAAACTAAAATCTCCATTTCGCTTCAATGCAATGATTTCCTCTTATACATATTAAATAGCAACAGCATACCTTTTCGTGCCACTGCAACAGTACAGCGCTGCTGTTGTCAGAGGGTTTCTCGAAACCTCTGTAGATGTATTTCATCAACAGGTCCACTCCTGCTTTGTCCAGTGATCCAACAGCTTTCTCTATGTCACTGCTCTTAAAACTGCTCAGCACTTTGACCACCAGCAGCTCGGCCCGGTCCTAAACAGAGGGAGGACACAGTCACACGACTCTCAGGTTAATGACTCGTCCGTCTCTGCTCTTCTGTCCCTTTAAAACTCTGCTGACAAACAGACACACCTTGTGCACATGACTGTTTTCATAGATTAAACTTGAGGAAGGTATGAGCTCTGTGAAATCTGATGGAATGAGATGCTTGAGAACAAGATGTAAAGGGTTAGATAGGAAAAAAGAGATTGTCTTAACTTTGCAAGGGCAAAACAAATGCACAACTTTAAAAAGGTCCTGGTGCCATATTATCTAAACCTTCCATCTCAGCA